TATAAATCCAGTTTCCTAACCTACACTTGTCCCGTTTATCTACGAACAGGATCAAAGAAATTTATACGGTACGTTCACTTCTAGAGTGAGCCGTGTAAACGCGTTCCGAGGCTACGCCACGTTGTAACGTGCTTTTCATGAACAGAGACCGGTCGAGTGACTGCCCGTTTAGGACTATTGATTTCGACCGGATATATAAGACATCCTCCCTGCCATTGACGCTTGATAATTCCTCGTTTCTTAGGAAGGTCCGTGTCTACAGTCGCAAAAGTGGCGAATTATCGAGCGGTAACTACATTTCTCCTTCTGCTCATACGTACAGCTCCGGGAAGTCTCCGTTGCACCGGAGTGTACACTCTGGTGCAACGTACGCTTCTCTTGGTTCAAGAGAAAGGTAGAGGAGAATACTCTCCCTCCATTTGCCTTGAATCTCAGGAGAATCCTGGGACAGCCTAACCTAGAACCTCTGTACAAAGAACATGGCCAAATCTGACGGATGGTGGGGCGCTTCCCCTGAACTTAGGGCAGTCCGAGGGCGCTCTTGCACGTTAGCGTACTCGGCTAACCGGGTACCTTATAAATCGACAGCTTTGCCCCCTGTTCTCTACCCTTTCGAAATGTTTGCCCGGCCGTCTGGCCGTCTGGATGCCGCGCCCTGTTCGAAACACAAATCAAAACACGTAATCAGCTAAAAGGGATTTGTATGAAAAGAGAAAAAATGAACTGGTAGGACTGCTAACCGACGTACAGTTTCCCCTCTTTTCGGTAACGTTACAGAGCGGGGCAACTGTTCGATATCACGAAAACTGTACCCCCTTCTTCTCTCGTCTCGCTGTCGCCTATCCCAACAAGAGAGGAGACTCGATCGATTCGCGTCGACGTACTACTATGGCCTGCTTACACGGAGAGCACTGACCTCCAAGGTCGCTCTTACGCGGTTGCACGTGCTGTCGCGAATTGACGTAGCCATCCTTCCCTTCCCCATCCTCTGACGGGCATCGCATCGTGAACGACTTACAGTTTGCTCTCTATCACCTCATCGTTCTCCCCCTTCACCCCTTTCGTTCTTCATCTTCGTTCCTTTCGTACGGAGTAGCTGCTTTTAACTTTCCTCAACTGTCGACCTCTTCCGCCAGCCTCTTCTTCACTCCCGGGCTGCGACAGACACGCGTGTGGTACACGCATAGTTTATTTTATTTTATTTTTTTTCCCGAATTTTTACGTACTTTTGTTTCATTCATTCGATTGTTCTACTTTTCTTGTAATTGTTAAAGGCAGTCACTCGTGAAGTGGGATAGGTTAGGGGTTGGCGTTCACGTGATGGCACGTGTAAATGGAATTGAATTGTAAACGTTTTCGTATTCATTTTTCGAATTTTGAAGTATCCTAAGGTACGGGCATAAGGCACCTGGTGGGTGTAGTCGCTAACCCACTTAGGTTAGCTTTTTCGTCCCAATATCTACATTCCTTACGCCGGCAAAGAGTCAAAAGTGTTCCTGGATCCAAACACAATGATTGACAAGCCCCATGAGTAGACAGTTTATCCTTTCCCGGTGGCTGCTGGGAAGTGGATATTTTATTTTAGCGCAATTTGCGCCCTTTACAACTGCTGGTATAAGCTAAAGCTTGGGAACGGCAGGGTGGGTTATTAACTCCCCAAGGCTCACTTTAGATAATAACAATAACCTATCCTAAGGTCTTTATCATTATAATCTGATAACATCGGCACCGACTGCTTTCACCTGGTGAACATGTGCGTCCATAGCAATCAAAGGATTAAAAATGTAAAAGCATTTTCTATTTTCGTTGTAGAAACGAACGAACTGTGTCGATGACAAACGTATCTGTTTCACGACCTAGGTGAACTACATAAGTATTGTCCGTCGTTGTGTTCACAGTGCACGGTAGTCCGAAGCGTATTGGCGCAAATATCGGCATAGACCTCGAGCGTGTTCAATTGCACGAACGATATTGACTTCCGCGTTCTCGGTGCAATTCGCGGGGATTCTTTTCTTCAAATGCATCGGTGAACCGTGTCCAATTAGGCATTCGATGGTATCGACTTACGCTGCTGGCTCGAGCGAGGACAGTGGAATGAAATACGAAACACTTCCTTCCTTGGTGTGCAGCTTCGCGTATGAAACAATTAAGGCGAACGGGAAGGAAGGAGATGATGATGAATGAAGAATGGAAAGGAACGGAATCTGAATCAGAGTGAAACGAAAATAAGCGGCACTTGTGTCGACGAGTCGTTCGAAACCGGCGCTATTCCAGTGAAAAAGAAACGAAATTGACGCGACGGGGAAGTGGTTTTCGATTCGCGTCTCGGTTCCTAGTGGGACGCCCGGTTAGGTGTCTTCTCCCGGTTATTTTTAGAAGTTTCGCGCCTTTTCGCAGTTGCTCACCGACGACCTGGCAGCCAGCCAGTTTAGGGAAGATCCGTGTGCCTTGACGAGGTGGCACGATCAAGCACGTGGAAGCGGTCGAGGAGGTTGCATTCGTTGACTCACACTTGCACGCAATCTATGCGGGCGTCCCGTTTGCCTTCTCTTCCTCGTTCCTCGACAGATGCTTTCTTCTTGGTTCCGTTTGCGACGCTCGGTAAAAGTTAAATCGTATCGCTTAACACTTTTGCACATTTTATCAAATTTATTACTTTCGCAATTTTTCAATTTGCAATTTTAATTTGCAATTTAACGCTTGTTTAACATGTTCGAACCCACGTGGGTAGATCTACCCACACCATAGATTGAAACGATACCGAATCAATAATTTATTCGTAGAACCATATTGAATCAACTTATTAACATTATATTGCATATTTTGCAATAAGAAAAATATTTTCTTCAGTTAATAAGAGGAACGTGAACGGATACGTTTGTTCATTTGTCGGGTATTAATTAAAAGTTCACGCTGCGGTTGCAGTGACTACTAGATAAAGTGAAACCGGAAAGCAAAGTGATCGTTCTTTGCACAAACAACCACGATGTATTAACAGATGTTCTAAGTAGAAATTTTTGTAATTTAAATCGAAACCGACCGTCGGTTTGATATAACGAAGTCCAATGATTGAAAAGAGTGATAAGAATCGATTCCACTTTAACGAATCCCGGACGAACACTGGGGTGAATACGTGATTTCCGAGGAAAAGCTTGAATAATCGAATTAAAATTAATTTAAACGTTTAGGTTCTGTCCCCTTTTCTTGTTACTTTAAACTTGAATCTTTTTGTCGGTTTTAGGTTTTAGGTCAAGTTCGTTGCGAGCAGGATATTGTCACACTATAAATAAAATTATATTACAAAAGAAAAGAAATATTTTTGGACACCACATTTACATTTATCTTAGCTCTAAATTAAATTATTTTAGTAATTATAATTTTTAACGTCATCATTTATCTTTCTTTTTTTAAAATCATTTATTATTTGAATGCCTTGAATTGCAATTAATTTAGTACACGAATAAATTTGTGTTTCATTACAACGAGTGCAACCTTCGAGTATCTATTTTAATTACCGAATGTTGTTAAAGATAATTTATCACGCTGACAGAGCATGAAATTTAATTAAACGTATTCGCGATCTTGCTCAATTAATGCTTTGTTTCATGAACGAATTGCTGCTGGAACAAAGTTCATTCTTGAATTGGCGGGCAAACTGTAACCATATCGAGTCCCTTGTAACGATACATTATCGCATCGACATTGGATGATTATATTTCGAAGCTGTCCTTGAATAATGAATTACAATTCGTATTCGTATGTGAAAGGAATCTGGACCAACCGGATTTCCACTGATTGTACCACATGCGATGGATGACACAGTTTGCAGAAACGCCCACAGTGTCGTATGTCCCCTTCGAACGCCTCCATATAGCCACGTGCTCTCTTTAATTCGTCAATTATACTTGAACGATCGTTTTTTCTTTTCGATCGGTTTGTAATTTTATAAGTGTTTTTCATCGTTGAAAGATTGATGACATTGATTGATGATGCAGCATGTAAGGTCGTATATAGAAGCTGTAGGGTTCCAATCGATAAAACAGAAAAATACCAAATTTATTATATAAGACAATTTTTAGAATTCAGTATAATTTTTATAAATATTGCAGAAGATTATAATTGACGAAATTACGGAATTTTGTCATGCTACATTTCTGCGGTGACTATTCCCTGTATCATCTTGCTAGAGCACCAACATCGTTCAAAAGGTGGTCTTTCTTCCATAGACGAGTGTCTTTGTAGATAAACGATATGGAACATCCGACACGGGTCACTTTGAAATCAGCTTATACTCATGTTTTTTTACCCGTCGATACGAATCTGTTCCCGCTCGATCCTTCGGAAAATCGTAAACCGATTTTTCTGCTGCTTTGTGGTCGGCCTTCACCCTGAATAGAGAATTGTCGGAGGTTAAACACAAGAGGCGTGCTTGTTTCGTCCCGGTCAATTAACGACGTTTTACGGCCATCTGTGGTCATTGATAGCCTTTTAAAGATATTAAAGTATCGAACGATTTCTACGTTAGCGATTTCTTCGCAAGATTTCCCTTTTTATGGACTCGAATGTATGAAATTGTTCTTTCAATCTTTCTCGATTAAATCGATCAGACCGGCCATTAGTGGCATATGCAATTTATGCGTATGAAAAATTGTTAAATTTTATAATTCACTTTTTTCTCAGAAACAATGCTTTGACTACGTATCAAATATTTAATTTAAAAAAAAAAATAGATCCTCAGATGTCTAAAGAAATAGTAATAAAATTGTAAAAGTAAGAATGGAGGAAAAATTCAAAATGAAATTGAAACTCTAACAAAGACCTGATTTCTTGAGTAGATAGTAGCCAAAAATATTAAAAAATCTCGAGGAAGTCTGTGTACGGTCCTATCTTTAGGCTGAAAGATAGGATAACCCACGGCCATAGCGGCTGCAACTGCACGATAATGAAATGCCGAACCGAACAATCGTAAAATCTCTTTTCCATGTTTTCCTTTGTTGCAGAGGAGGAAGAGATCGATGTAGTGACATTCGAGAAACCGTGCAGACCAGCAGCGTTACCGACCTACCCGAACTTCGTCGACCAGCAGCATTTCCAATTGACAGTGAACACCGCATTTAAAAAGACACCGCGACCACGAGGTAGGCCTCCGTCGAATCCGGCTAGGAAACGAACCGCGCAACCGGAACAGAAACCTGCTAAACGGGCGCGTCAAAGAACATACACGAGGAGAAGCAACCCGGTACGATGTATGACAACACCCTCGCCTCCGATGAAGATGAACACATCAGTCTCGTCGGCCTCGAGAAGTTCGTCGGAGGACGAGTTAGACACGGAGAAGCGAAGTTTGCACAACAATATGGAACGACAAAGGCGGATAGAGCTGCGAAACGCTTTCGAGGAGTTACGGATCCTCGTGCCAGCGATCGAGTCGAAGGAGAAGGCACCGAAAGTCGCGATCTTGAGGCAAGCGGGTATGTACTGTGATATGCTGACCGAGCTTGACCAGAGCACCGTGGCCAAGGTGATGGAGCTTAGAAAACGACAGGAGAAGCTCCGAGCAAGACTCAGTCAACTACGAAGGAGTCTCGCCATGACGCGTTGAGGGAGAGACTCGAACATTCGTATGAAATATCACCGAACGTGTTAAAATCGCGTTCGGTGGATTTTAGAATTCAATTTTTAATCGACAGCTCCCAATAACTGTCCCACTCGATGTTTCGAGACGAGATTTTGTGGAAATGTCCGGCGGGAAGATCGCTGCGGCAAGAGGGATGGCTTTAAACAGAGCGTGTTGAAGATATACAGGGAGAATGTGTAAGAACCTTGATATCCCATAGAACAGAAACGTCATGGTTACGGTTCTGTGGTGCACAGGACTGAGTAAATACTACACTAGTGTTGACAGAATTCATCGATTCGTTAAAGAACAATTATTTAGATACCGAGTTTAGTTTGGTTCGAAGAGAAAAGGGTAGAACTGGCGCGATCGGTGGAAGAAATCGAAGAGGCTGACGAAGAATTTTGAAGAAGTTTTATATACCATGTATATTTGTGATTTCATCGAATAGCAAGCAATGTTAAAGATGAAGGGATTAGAGCTGGATTGCTTTTCGACGAGTTAACGAGGTATCGGTAAAGGATGCAGAACTGAGTTCAGCTAGATAAAGGAAGAAGTGTATCGACAATAGATTTCAAATTTTTTCTTTATCGGTATTTAGAGACGTACAAAGAGAGTTCGCGGTAAAATGCACTGTGAGAGGAAAAGGAAATCGTGAAAATCGGTTCGAATAAAGTCAGTTCTATTTTTATTGTTAAAATTCTTGATCGGTGTCATATGACGATGACCGGTTCCGTCGAGCTTGGGAATGGAAGTGTCGTATATATTTTCGAGAAAATGTATTTGCAGCCAATTGAAACGATATACAAATCGTTCGAGGGGATCAAGAATAAGAACGAAATCGATTTGTTATTTTATTACACAGCTTCCATTTCTTTTTATACTCGCTTTGATTGCATTCTAACAAATTTTTATTGAAACACGTTGAAATTAATTCAAGAAAAAACAAGACTATGTTTAAGACGGTGATTATAATAATAAACCTGAACAATTTTATTTGATTCGAATCGTTCGATCTCAGACCTGCTTGAATATCGTTGGCAAAGTGAAACTTATGCATAGATAAGAGGAAACGGGTCTTATCATAACGTTATCTAACATTAGTATCGCCAGCTACCAACTAAAACTAGTCTTAGGATGTGTATCAAAGCTGAACCGGTTTCTAAGTACATTTTTCTTTCAGAAAAGGAAAAAGGTGAAAGAAAAGAAGAGAGGAAAGGCGTGCATACAGATTTCGATCGTCAATGGGGTGGTTCTTTTTCCAAAACTTGTACCAGTAATTAGCGGTAGAAAGAAAGTTGTTTCGGTTTTAGATCGAATCATTGGACTGGAAGAGTTGGCCCCGTATTCTGGTCGAACAGGTTACTGTTCTCGTTGCGGTTACAATAATATGCTTTTCCATGACGAACCAGTAAATTGGAAAAAAAAAAAAAAGTTTTGGAAATTGAATTCACAAATATTATGTAACTCTTGCAATTCTTACAGCACTTTATCATATTCGAAACTTCCAAAGGTTGTAGACGTTTTGAGATTCAAAAGTGGAGCTTTTATTTTTTGCTCCCTATTCGAAAAATAAGAAAATTAATTCTTTCTTTTTATTTTCGATTCATTGAATCGAGCAATTCAATGTTTGATAGCGAACAGTAACAAGCTACGGTGAAGCAACAATATCCATTCTCAAATCTCTCCTTTATTGACTTCCATTGTACTCTCCATTGAAATCTAGCGTTGTAGTTACTAGTAATTGTTTATCGATTGATTGATGATCGCTGTGCGATCTGTACGTTCTGACGCGTTACACACCTTCGATAGAATGCATCGATGCATCCGGTACTGATTATTTTCTGGAAACCTTGGTATATGTATAGTCGTGGCAACGATATAGGCGAGTATACTTGGGTTCAGAAACATAGAGCAGCTGATAAACTCATTAAAATGATCAAATAACTACGCTTAACCCTTTTAATAGATGGTTTTCCAAAATCATTATTTCGTTTAAGTATAGCGCAGCTAGAAATTTCGTTACGTACAAATCGCCATTACTGCCAAGATATCCACAATTATTTCATTTCCATACAATTTTGTAAGTCGATGTTCATTTTTGACCTCCCTATATCGTAGCCACGACTGTGCACCAAATAGCGCAGTAGTCATAAACACATAGTTAGAAACCAATATTTAGTACACAAATATACACGTCCAGAAATTTGGTCGCGAATGTTTGGATCTTCCTCCCGCTCAGTCCCTTTTTTTTTTTTTTTTTTTTCTAGATCGTTTCGATAGACAATTTAAAGTCAAAGTTTTTTCGTCCGTCTTCTTCCTAGTTCTTCATTCTGAGGTGCGACAAACCGAATGACATGTCATTAGAAAGCTAGTTTTCGCCCTTTAACGAGCGCCTCCGTTCCCTTCCTTTTACTTAATTCTTATTTTTTAATTTGTTTTTCTCTCTCTTTTTTTAATGGGTGCAATAAGGTAAGGTGGTATGAAAAAGCCTTCGTAACGGACCATTAATTTTGTTATTGGATGTACGTAGTTAGAAACAAAAGGAAGGCAATGGAGCGGTGAATTATCGAGTAGGAGTAGGATCGAACGATTTTTTTTTACCAGTTAAGATCGATCCGATTCCCGCGCTCGTTTTTTAGTTTTTTTTTTTTTTTTTTGTTTTTCTCGTTAAGAAAGCTTTGAATTCGTAGATTAAAGGCGTAGATCTCGTAATTTTTTCAAGGAGATAGGATTTATCCTCGGTTATCTTCCTGGTAGTTTGTTCGTTAATTACGATAACGATTGTGAGTCGACGAACGGTAACGCGGTTTTTTTTGTGAGAAAAGAAACCATTTTTTTCGTAAGGTCTACAGAGGCCTGGCTACGCTTTTAGACACGTGTAAGTAATGTGTGTATATACACATTATTGATACACACACACACACATATATATATATTGAAAATTATATACACAAATACATGCATGAATCTGTGAGAGTATGAGGTGAGAGAAAGGGAAAGTATGAAAAAATGATAACGCTACTAATTACTGACCTTTAGCATTATTACTACTATTATGATTACGATTACACTTATTATTATTGATTATTATTAATATTTCTCATTATCACCATTATTATATGTATTTTTATTGTTACGAATTTCCTAGCATTTCATTGCTACGATATAACGGATTCTTAGTAAACTTTAACACGACGGAACTGATCGTTCGCGCATGGACGAACGATTACGAACGCGATTATATATTCATATATAAACGGTTTAAAAGATCGATAAAAGATAGGGATTATATTATATTATGATAAAAACAAAAATATATATATATATAAATATGTCTATGTATATTTGTAATACGAAAGAGAAGAGACAGACGCGCATGTGAAAAACGTCGTCGTCGCAGCCGATCGTAGAAAGAAAGAAAGAAAATGAAAAATCTGATTTGTCGAAGACGCGAAAGGAGAAGTTGCGGGTGCCCTCGCGAAAGGAAATAAAAGGCAAAATAATGTGTTCATTACATTTGTAGGTAACAGTATTCGTTTATATACACACTTTTTACGGACTATTGAAAGAAACAGAAAAATAAAAAAAAGTAAAAAGAATAGAAATTAGAAGGTACGACCTTCTGGGTGACAAGCTATTTAATCCACAGACACACGCGTTAAATATATATATATATATACATATATTATAAACACACATACACACGAACTATAGAGATATGTAAATCGCATTAAGGTACACTCGCATATGTATGACGCATGAGAGCTGAACGTATATCGAGAGGGGTGATAGAGAAAAGAATGCATGCTCGACGGTGCTAGACGAAAATTAAAGAGGGATTGGAAAGTTGCACAGGGGAGAAAAGAGTAGATTGTGCAGCACGAGATGCAAAGGAGCAAAGAGATTGGACTGGGAATCGGTTACGGGATCGAAAGCAGTAATGCATCCAGAAATAATGTCTCGATGTATTTGTCGTTCCTTGCCGTCGTATAATACACATATGTATGCGTTATATACAGGGTGTCCTATAAACTTACACTATTCCAAAGTAAATAAAAAAAGTTATATACCACTAAGTTATATACAAAGAAATATAGCAAATATTTAATATTTGGAATATTTTGAATGATTTCTTTGCATTTATTTTGACCGGGAATTTCTGCAGTCTTCAAACTCTGTATAATCTCTTTTTAGGACACCCTGTATATTACACACGTGCACCACACATATACACGCAGAAAATGGACAAATTGCATACAATATACGCGCTTGTACGGATAGAAATTAATGAAAGACTAAATCGACGACACGACGAAACCTGAATCGCAACACAAGTGCTTCAAATTTATATAAGTACATACGTATAATCGCAGTAGTAATGCAGTTCGGAACACGGGTGGAATACATTTTCGGGTAGTAGAAGGAGGAAGGGGGTGGATTCAAAGCGGGAATGTTGAGAAGTTCGTTCGAAGGGTAGTCGAGAAGGGCCTTGACAGAAAGATTCTTCTTTAATTCGTCCTTAATTGGCCGAATCACGATGTAATATCTTTTGATCGTACAGAGAGAGAGAGAAGGGTCCTTATCGTACCTTTTCAAACGCGAACCTTCGAAACAAGTATCCGCGATAAGAATGTCGAAGTTAACGTCCGTTTTATCGAAATTATTCAAAGACCGCGAAACAATCTGGAATCCATTTAAAAAACGTAAAAATTTCGAAACAGCTCAGCCTGTATGCGCTTTAAATTATAAATAGACATATAGAAGGTTTATTAATTATTAAAAAGAAAAGGTATCATTAAGCGAAATATTCGAATACCAAATGATGCACAAATACCTTGAAAAAGAATGAACCAGAAGAGGAATGTTTCGACGTTCTTACATCCGCGATTTTCTAGGCGTAGTTCTTGTTATATTTTTGACAGATTTTTTATACATTTAACCCTTGCAATTGCTAGAGGATATTGAAAAAGAGTGCGATTCTAGGAGCGATTGTTACTCACAGGAGAAAGCAAAACAAGTGCGCGTATGTTTAACGAATCTATATATTTAACAAAAAAAAAAAAAAAAAGAAACGAAACACTGAAATGAAACGAAAAGACTAAAAAGGTAAAAAAAAGAGAGAAATGTTTTTTATAAGACGAAGAAAATCGCATTTTCGACGCATCAGGTTTACTTAAGAAAATAGAAACCAACATGTACTGTTCACATACTCAGGAAACTAAGTGGCGCCTTAATTTTTAACTTTAAATTCGGTCTCGGTGTATACCTTCTCGCGTACGATATCTGTATTTTATTCTGTACATAAGAAAAAGAATGATGAAAAGAGAGATAGAGTAGATAAATATAAACGTTTCTCTTTCTCTTCGCGATAACATTCTATCGCAGGGACTCGCGTTGTACATTAATTTTTCTTTTTTTTTTTTTTAATTTCGTTCCAACGCGCGAGTCGCTGCCGACCGAATGAGAAAATAAATGAAAAATTAAAAAAAAATATATCGACCACGTTTCAAAGTTCTTCCGTGTTTTTAATGACGAAAGAAAAAAACTCGACGATATATATATATATATATATTAATATATAATAATACATACCTCGCAATAGATTTCGCCTTCTTGAAATGGTAGTCTTCTGTTTACGCTAAATAATAATAACATAGTAAACCTCGTTTAACCGTTCTTTCTATTATGTATTTTTTTTTTCTTTTCTTTTTGTTCACTCGCTCGTGTGTCCGACCTGTGAGTTCTCTGTATCGTGCCAAATCAAGAGAGAAGGAAAGATAGGTCGAGAGAAAGAGTGAGGAACCATAGTTACGGATTTATCCGAGCGTTATTTAGTCGAATTTAGTCTATGATAGTAGAATTTCAATTAGTTTTGGAATAGGAACTCGTTTTTCTTTTATTTATCTTTATTAGTTCAAAAAGGACACCCTCTATAGGGAATGATTCTTTTTGAATACGCATTTGTTTTCCTCTTCTCTTTTCCTTACTCTTTTATTCTTTATTTTTCTCACTGTTTTTTTCTTTTTTCTTTTTATCTTTCCTTTCGATTGACTGGAATGTGTTTAGGCCTTCTCTCGACAAAGACATTTCTTCGAAAATTGCTCAGAGAATAACCTTGATTGACGGATCGCAGGAACGTATCCTCTTTTCTTATTCCTTTTTTGTTGTTGTTTCTGATTGTTTTTGCTAGATAATTTTCACCTGGTACGTCCACGCAACGCTATTTTATCCTAGGAATTCTCGTCTGGAACGATAGCCTGCAAGGTACGCGTTAATTTGAGGCTTTCGGAACGGGGAATCAATTTTCCCTCGTTCCCCCCTTTTTTCTTATATATATGTATATGTAAGTAGTATATTAAAAAGAATATATATTATATGCAATTTTTGTGATTTTGCATAAAGGATATTTGCGCGTGCACGCGTGCGATCGGGATTTATCGTTGCGAAGCATTGGGGGCGAATTTTTATGCGAATTTTCGACAGCGTGCGAGGACAACTAGGGGTAGCTTTAACTCTTAAGCATAATATTAAATGTTTCTCGTCAGACTCCTACATATCGTTTTTGGTTTTTTAACGAACCTGTTTTTAAAAACAGAAAATAAAGAAAACGTGCTGTAAGCGAGAAGAGAAATGTACGAAAAGGATGAAAAGGGGGGTGAGATGTGACGAAGTTACGTTTTTACTGGTTGTTAAATATTTTAAGAGAGACAAATTTTGTTGTACACCAAAAGCATTAGAGGAGAAAAATTCTACACGTTCCTACGATCCATCAACGGTTCTGAAGAGTGTAAACGTACCTGCTAGCGACATAGACATTAAATATAATAATCATAGTTACTGTGTAAAGAACAGAGAGGCGGTTTAAGGAAGATAACACGTTTGTAAACGATGTACGTCGACGTAGCTTTAGCTTAGAAAAGGACACGGCAATTATAATATTATGATACTGTTATTATTATACATAAATCGACTCAAAGTGGCGCGTGAGATTCGTCTCGACAATTGTTTTTAATAAGAATGAAAAAAAAAAAAGAATGTTTTTTGTTTATTCCCCTTGGACAATATATTTTCCATCATAGAAAATAATTTTTCTTTAAGTTCTATCGATTCGTAACATAGGTTTACAAAATTCGAATCTCACGTCCACGGTATACATTTTTTTTTCCTTCCTTTTTCGTAAAAATTTTAAACACCTACACACATGCAGTACGTGTCCAGAGAACATGTTCCCTCCTCCGTCATTGATTGATCATAGACGAACCTTTTCTTTGCAAGTTCTCCCCTCATTTTTTTCGTTTCTATTCTTAATTATTATTATTAATTTCGACTCGCCACACGATTGATCCGTTCTCTGATTTGCAATGCACGCATAAACAATGCCACGAGGACGACTACCAGTGTGCAAGAAGTGCGTGAAAACGAAAGAAAGATAAATAAGCGAAACGTTGGAGGAGCGAAAGAGAATAGCGAGTAAGAACGTGAGAAAGTGAGATGCGAAAGCGAGACTGAACGGTGTTTATTAGAGCTCGATAGTGTTTTATATATGTGTATAAAATAAATATAGTTTGATATAAGAAACTGTGTACAGTTGTGTACTAAACCTTGACGTTAAGAGCAACGAAAGAAAGAAGAAGAAGAAAAGGAAAAGAAAGGACGACCGAGTCGATCCATGTTCTTGCAGGGGGTGGTTAGAGAGAGGGGAGAGAAGGATTCTTAAAGTTAACGTTAAGCTTTTTATTCAGAGCAAAACAATATTTTTTATTTATCCGTTTATTTTTATACGGCGTTGCTACTGGAACCATTTATACATTGAAATTCGTGGGGGATAAACGAGGTGACGAGAAGATGGCGGTGGACAAAAAGAGTTTGTGAAATAGAGCGAAAGAGGGTGGGAGAGAGTGAATTAACGAGTGAAAGAAAGAGAGAAAGTTAAGATTCGAGACGATTTAAGTCCCGAGTGGTATAACCAGAGCTACACAACGAAATGATTCTTGACGACACAAGGAAAGAAAAATCGTTCAGAATCCGAAGATAAATAACAATAAGAGAAATAAAATAGAGAACCCCGATACACATAGAGTTTTCAACTGCGATATTCATGTTAAATATATGTAAATATATATTATATAAAAAATAGATCAATCTACTATTTTTGCAAGAAAAGCAGATACCCGAAAAAATGGAAAAAAAAGAAAGAAAATGAAAAAAAAAAATTGAATAACGTTCGTCGAGACGCGACAAGAAAGACGAATCCTAATTTTCATTTTTATTTGCAATTTCCAGTGTTAGTTTTTGCTATCTTCGAACGAAAATGGATTTCTTCGTGAAAATTAAGTTTCGTATTTGTTCGTCGCGTTGAAACGAACGAGCACCACAGAGACTTAGCCGCTTTAATTCGGGGGTGGCGTCGTTGGAATTTCGTCTGAATTCTCGCGACGTTTTACGACACAATACATATATTTATACAACAATTACGAGAGATCCTATATTTCGATCACGCTTCTCTAGGTAACTCAACGAAGAAAAAAAAAAAAGAGAGAAACTAATTTACATATAATTCGACTCCGTAGCAGAGTGATAAGAAATTTCTTTAGTTAGAGAGAAGGTAATCGTAAGGTTAACTGTTATACCTATTACTCTATTATTGGTAATCAGGCAATATTGTTAATATTTATCTAACATTAACGATCGTATTACTCGCGTAACTGTATCTCTACGATAATAATATTTAATATATAATATTATATAATATATTATATTATAAACTTATATAATACATATTACACGCATATAGAACAGCATATACTGTATAACCATTACATAATAATATAATATATTATCGATAATATTAATATTAATTATTAGCAATTAATATTCAGTAAGGTATTTCTTAACGATGCTCTTAGAGTTTCGTTCATTTACTTTTTTTAACGGGGAATATTTGTTGATTGATGATTTGTGATCGGTCGATATCGCGGATAATAGACGAAGTTTGCGAACCCACCTCCTTAAAAGGAAAAAAATAAAAAGAGTTCACTTGTACCTATACCTCGAATGATTGTTCAGTAACTAAGCGGAAGGAAACATTTACGATTTAACGATTTTACCGAGAACGATCGTGATTGCTATTTCTCGACAATTTCGTCCCGTTGTTCCGGTTATATACATATATTTCTTCCTACGTTGGTGCGGCTAGGACCGGAAGTTGTCGAAGAATTGCTGAAACCTAAGAAACACCCTCTCCGTACAGAAGCGTCAAATTGAATCGCATACGTATGTTAAGGTGAAAAGAATAAAGAAAGGAATTGTAATGGATCGTATCACGGTGAATTAAAAGTATATTTACAAGATTTGTAAGGATCTGTATAGCGTACAGACATGATACACGTGTGTGGGTACGATACACTACATTATAAATAGATAATAAATGAAGAAGTAATATTTATTCCAGAAGTTAAATAGTAATATTAGGAATAATATTTATATCTCTACATTTACTATTTACATATTATCTAACGATGTGACCGTCGCCTTTCCGTAGGATGGGGTCAAGTGGATTTTATGTACAGTAAGAAAATGAAAGAATGCAAACGGAGATAGATAAGGAAATGAAAAATGCTTGTTTATAATAAATTTACGGTAACAGAATGGAGCGATTGAAAGAGAGATTGAAAGTAAAGAAGTTAGGTTTTGTACTTAAATTTATAAACAAAATCGTTCGTACACCTAACACGCTTCCTTCGAACATGTTTCGTTCTTTTCTTTTCATTATTTTTCGACAACGAACGGTATACGATAATTGAAAAATATAAATGAAATTGTTCCTTTCCTGATGAATTATAAATTGGTTTCAGCGTGTTGGTGATCGACGATCGTTTTTGATGGAACCGCAGAATCGTATTCGATAGTTAGGCGTTATATAAATAATTTTTTATAATGGCAATGTAAAAATTTGAGTGATGTGCGTACCACGAATTTTTTGATTGTTCCATTAATGATCAATAGCGAAGGATCAGACAAAACGAAAAAGTCTTTGATGTTCTTTTCTTTTTTCAGGAAAAAGGGTCAGACAGTTCCTTGACGTTTATATTTCGAATTATCTTATTATACGAATAAAGCTATTATCATTTACCTAAAATGTTACATTTTATTGTACCTGTGCAATCTATCTCTCATTTTGCAATCTTTCATTCTAATCAAATATAGATCATAATTTTGATTTTCTATGAACTTTTCATAATTTTCATTTGCTTTTGAAACCTATTCTCTAATTATGGTATATAATTAACATAAGTTAGCAACGTGGGTCTCCTTTGTTCCCCCTTAGAATGAAAGTGATAGATTGCTATGGAAGTTCAAATGTCTTAAATCAAATTAATTTAAAACGAAATAATTCAGCGTACATTTTCTGCATTATCAAATTTTTTCTATCATACTTAACAATAATGATGTATTTTCAAAAGTTAAATACTGTGATATACGAGGAGGGAAACTGATTACCCCTCGGTTAAAAATAACACTTGTTCTTCGTATCTTGTTGACTTTTTTTAAGACAATTTAATTCCGGTTCTTTGGCACAAGGCAAAGACAAGAATGTCGTTATCGTACGAAACGACAAGTAGATAAAGGGATACTTTCCACTGTTACGTAAAATCGAGTAAAGAGCAGCCTGTTCTGATTACGAGATAAAGTGAAATGCCGGTGGAAGGGTGGTTGAAGGAAAAGAATGAAAAAAGGAAAAAAATAATGAAAAAATGTAATTCCAGTCATTCGCTCCATTTCACTCGCACCCATGAATCGCGTGATGGCGATCAACGGTACGATCGAAGAACGGCACCGGTTTTACGAGCCTTTATTTCGCTCGTTGAATTAATTCGACATCATAAAGAGTAAGATAATGGTCGACTGGGATGCATCCGAAACTGCGGCTCGAGAACACGGTAAGCCGAAGCGGAAACTTAATGACAAAGTCACCCCATGCTTGTGGCGTTACATATACGAAACTGACGAAATCTAACGATCCTACCAATTGGTTATCGTCTACATTATCATTTTATTCATATTTTTTATTTATTCCGTCCTCTTCTTTGTTTTCTTCCTTTCAACATCCTCTTTTTATTAGGTTGTCAGATAATTTCTGTCGACGTGTAATAAATTATCATTACATTTGTTATTACTCTATGCTGTTAATTTGATCGCATAGTATCTTTATTCATTATTTTCTGAGGCTTTAGAGTTTTAACGCTTTAAGATCTCTGTCATCCATATAGCGGTAAATTTTAACAGAACCTCCATTTTTGAAATGTCATTTTTGTCTGGCAGAGAGATGCAAGAATAAATGGGCTTTGATGATATAAACAAATTGGGTTATGTGAAAAATTTCGACAGGGGGCTCTTCGTTAATTGAAGAAAATTAACGTGGCCACCCGCATCACCATCTGCCCTTCGTTGTTGACATAATTTTCAGCCTTTTTGAGGCCGGTTAGTCACCGGTGATGAGAAATGGATTACATTCGATAATTTAGCTAGAAAAAAGCTGACTCGTTCCAGAAGCTAGTATCCATCAATCATTTTTTGTAGTGGCAAAATTCTTCTGCCAAAAAAATAAAAATTGTTTTGTATTCAAAATTGGTATGCAAATTAAGCAAAAGCTTAATACCTTGGTCTTAATTCAATACATTCAATTATTCTTTTTTGTTTTCTTCTTCCACCCCTATTATTCGTTCCTCTTCCGTTTCTTCGTTTGCATCCTTTATTTCATTGCCCCCTGCATTCATTTAGCTTTTTTACCTTCGCCGTTCGCGCTTCCTGTGGAAAGTTTCCGTGCAGTTGCGTCAATAGAGTATTTCGACCGGGCCAGCCACGATTAGGCGGCTAAATGTGAGAATTATGGAAAGCAGAGGCAACGTGCACGCATCCACGCGGCTAATAAAGCGAATGATATATAACGGCTTCCCGAAATACACAAAGTTTAATCGAGGATTCCACGAAAGACGACTGAACGCGAGATCGTCGGAAAACTTTTATCGGGTGTAAAATTGATGGTAAATCAAATGGTCTGTCTCGACGATGGTTTTAACGAAACTTTAATGCTGATCCTTGAAATTCGAGATCTAAGATACTGTAAAATTAAGATTTTTCTTTATACAATCCTCGTTTATTTGCTATCGCAATATAATAATAAACAACTGAATAACAGTGATTTACCCATAGGCTTATATCTTTCTTACTTAAGGGGGTGAATCACCCTAAGGCATCTAAAGCTTTGAAATTTATTTTTCACGGCTAATTAGTTAGGTTAGTATTAGAATAATTTTTTATAAGAATAGAAAAAGGAGTGAGTATGTTCCTTCCTCTATACATTAATTTTACTATCAATATGTACTAATTTGTTCTGTCTTAAAATCTCTGAAAATCAGTAGTTTGGAATCGTGGATGTATAGAAACCAGTCCACGAATCCAGCTATCTAGTCAGCTGTTCAAACTCAAATACCTTTTATTGTTAGCTTCTTTATTCCAAAATTAATTTTATATTGTAACAATGTAAGTCCTTGAATATTATCTGTTTTCGACTAAAAATAAGTAGACAATTTTTTGCATAGGTTTAATTAACATCACTAAATTTTGAAACATGATTAATTAAAAATTGTTATTCTGGAAAATTAATAGGATCCAATGTCATAGCTGAACAAGACTTATGTAATTTAATGTTGCAATTTACATTACAAGATAAATATGCAAACTTCATTTATGAATGAAATCATTTAAAATGATACTAAAGTTCAACGTCTACGTAATGAAATGTCAAAGTATAAAGTACTTCTAATTTTTAAGGAGTTGGTAGATGTTTGTATTGTTAAAAGACATGTAATTACACAAGCGCTTCTTGTTAGTTATTGACAACTGCATCTCATAGCCGTTTGTATGTTATGCGTAGTCAGCTAAATTTGTAGCACTGCGGAATATCATAGTTATGTATTCGTAACAGTATTGACTAAACCTTTTGCGTTTTAAATTGCAGATAGATTATTTATAAAATGAGCTTTTTTATATCTCAGGCGGCGCCATGTGTATGCAACAAATTATGATTTTTTTGGTAATTACCACGTTTATAATCACTTAGGAATAATTTGCAATGATAATTAGGTGCCTGTGATAAGTAAATAATTAATTCAAACGAACTTTTCTATATTAATAGAAGAAGAGCAAAATAAAAATTTACAAATGAGTATTTTATAGTTAATAATGTTTGTAAATTTGTTGTGAACCAAACAGACCAGAATCATTATTATCGTTGATAATATTATTTTTATCATATATAATAATATCACAGTATTTAATTTTATGTAATTAAGGTCATCATTAAAATGTAAAAGGAATTTTCTAACTAAAAAGTACATATATTTAATTTATATAAAGAGAGTCGGATGCAAATCTAGATTTTAAAGAACGGTCATTTAAAATTAACCGCCTTTGGCTCGTAGAGCTTGATCAGCGGAACGCGGAACAGAAGCGAACTGTAACTGCGCATGTCCAGTTCCGAGTAAGGATGAGTGATTATGGAAGTGTTAGTATGTCGCGTGTGCCAGTTTTAGCAATTTTGGGCTCTACAGGATGCGGAAAATCACGTTTAAGCATCGAATTGGCTCGCAAATTTTCCGGGGAAATTATTTCCGCCGATAGCATGCAAGTAAGTGGAAAAATATCAATAGATTACGTTGGAATCTCGGTCGTTACTATTGTAGGTTAAGTGCACGTTTGAACGTTGTTTATTTCCGCTAGTATTTCCAATCTCTTCATTGTATCTTAAATCTGATACCCTTGATTACTTATTATTACCAATTAATTTATTAAATATATAGAATGAAATATGTCGTGTGTGAATAGTTAATTAATTCTTCTGTAGGTAATCAAGTAATCAGAACAGTTAACATTTTTAGTGAGGTCTTGGATAATCCTACTTCTATGTTATTTAAAAAATAATACGAATTTGCGTAGGTAGTTTAATTACGTAATTTATATTACGAATGAATTATTCTATAAATATTAAAGATTTTCTATTATTCATATGTACTTTGAAAAATGCGTACTGCGATTCAAGAGTGTGTCGTAAATAATAGAATGTAAGTGGCCTTGTCTGGTCTATAGATACGAGAATTTAAATATAGAATTTTAGTAGAATCCTATATATTCCTACTAAATCGAGTTAATACACTGTTAGCAAAATTTATTGCAAAACTATTATTATCGGAGTTATTGCCGAGCGACGTCCAAGTTGTGTGAATTGTAGCACAAAGTACTGAAATCTTCGCTCAAATTTATTTATTTGAATTTAAATTTCTATCATTTGAACAAGAAATTGTTAGGTGGGAGTATTGTTCTTGATATAATAAATTTTTGCTCCAATTCAATTCTCATAGCATTGCATATCTATTACAGCTGCAAATATTAAAATTTATTAATGCACATTAAATTGATAACAATTATAAACTGTTGTCATTTAACATATTTTGAAATTTTTATTTGACAATTAACACAGTATTCTTGTGATACAATTCTTTCAATCATAAATATGTTAAATACAAAATTTTATTTTATTTTTTGCATTTTAAGGACCTTCTTTTCATTGGGTTTCAATTATTATTAATGATACGTGATTTATATGTAAAATTCATATAGAAAGAAAAATATGCGCCAATACCTCTAAAGAAATTAAGAAATATTAATAAAATATTTATATAGGCATTTTCATTAAATCTTTAGCTTTGAAATGATATGCCATAAAATGATATTTTTCGTAACTTTTCTCTCGTCAAATGGTGTCAGATTTTCTGCTATTTCATATGCAACCATCTAATACATAATGCGATAAGATTTTCACTGTCTATTTGTTGGTTATGAACGAAAATCGTTGAACCGAAACGCTAGAAGAGATTACAGTTTCAAGTGAGAACATTGTAGTAGATTAACTTATATTTTTCATGTGGCTCGTTTCCTATTATTATCTTTCCGCGTTGTTTCAATTCACCAACCAACTACAAAGGTCGTGTTTCTTGCGAGTCATAGATTTTGTGGTCGCATTTGGAGAGTCCCCAAGTTAATCGCTTTAATTGTCTTACCCTTTCACATACGTAAAGTAATCGTGAGGGACGTTTAATTATACGTCAGTGACATAAGGGTAGCCGAAATTTCCTCGAAAATGACGTGCTAGTAATTATCTTCCCACCGCTTTGCCCGCTTATCTTGAAACGTGTCAACTTTGTGTTACCTCTTCCATTTATGAATCCTTAAATAGTGGAGCAAAATTAAATGTAATTTTATCAGTTTAATGAACTCTTGGTTCTTTTTTACAACTACAGGTCTAATAATAAATTAAAAATAATTGAACACTCAATTTTGTGTAATAGGTATTTATTGCAGTATATCAAATTTTTCAAAATAAAGTAATAGTAGAAGTAGAAAAGAAGCAATTAGTATGCAATTGTTGAAAGTTAATAATGCAATAAAAGGGATTGAAGGGTCATTCTAATTTTTTAAACAATTTTTTAAAGAAGATGTATATCAGTTCTAGCGAGTTCCTTAAACGATTCTCGAGAAGCCCCTTTGTACCAGGAATTTATCTCACAATGATAAATTAAGTTACGTAAAGTGTTTCGTTAATTGACACGCTACTTTACATGGATCTTCCGCATTAATGAACAACCGGCCTTCATCTTCTATTATATTGATATATTAGAATGAGGTTTATTATCTTGTAGCAGCATAAAAGCAAACTGTATAAATGCAAAGTCGTACAGCTCGCATGATACCCACAATAAACTAAGTGGATCGAATTAAACTCTATCTTCTTGGAGTATGTATTAGCTGGAGGATCGTGGGACTTCCGGTTCTTATTAGGCCCTTGAATTAGTCCTAACCCTTTGTGAAGGCGACATGTTTATTTCTTACTAAACAAAGGGATTCACATCAATACTTCATATTAATATTTATGAACCCTACAATGAAAATGTTTGACATTAATTCATTTGTCATATTTACCGGTGTTTTAATTATTGAATTTTATTGTCATTATATAATCATCTTAACATTATACATTTCGGGGCAATGTAGGCTTTTTTTAGTTAAGATTAACTGTAAGGTAACTTGGGTTTGGGAGAACCTAGGAGGATCCTAGGTAAAGTCAGAAAGATTCTAGGAAAATTCTAGGGAGGACTAGGGAGAGCCTTAGAAAGGCCTAGAGGGAATCAGGGGTAGCCTTAGAAAATTCTAAGTCGAACCAAGGAAAGCATTAGAAAAGTTTAGGGAAAAGCAAGGAAAGCCTTAGAAAATCCTAGGGAAAGTAGGGATAGCCTTAGAAAAGCTTAGGAAGAATCAAGGAGAGTCTTAGAAAAGTTTAGGATGGACCAGGGAGAGAGCCTTAAAAAGAAATTGAAATTGCCTATCACATTCCCTTTTCGAGTATTACAGTGAGTAGTGGGGTCCTCTTTCCCCTGCACTGCCATTTTCCCTAGGGAAACCTATCGTGCTTGGTACTATAAATAATTCTAGACTCTGCGAGACAGCAAATAAAGAGCTTCTGGTTTGGTGCTCTCAGAGACAGAATCGATGACACGTTAGAGTCGAGGCAGAAGTCGATGAACTGGATGTATGGGCTGCTACGTCCTGGCTGGTATGTCTCGAACACTTGGCCCACTGAATCTTAATGTCCTCGTTAGACTGGGCTGGAGTTCAAACAAGCGTTTGTTCTTCAGTATACGCGGAACATGGCCACTGGTCACGACACGCGAATTATCCGTTTTGCATTTTCAAAAGTTATTTATTTACGAAAAATGACCTTTCCATATATCTAACTAAATCTAGCAAGTAAACTTATGTGTCTTCTGATTTAACTTTTCTGGAAGTGATTGTAAGTCTCTCTTTTCATGAAACAATCACTGTCCACTCTAACTATAGTTGTGAAGAGTTTATTTTTGCAAATAACACGTGTTTAAAATTATATTCCAAAAATGTTATCAGATATCTTGCGAAAGTGACTGTATGACAGAAATAAAATTAAAATTTGTAAGCTTTGAAATTATTCAGATTTTAATTTTCACTCTTTTATATTGTCTATAATAATTACACGTCTTAGTATATTCAAGAAAGTTGGTTAGTTCTCCTTAGATACGATCTTTGCTCCAAAAACGTAAAACGTTGGATGGTTAAAGAATTTCGAACTGGTTTCTTTTTTTCTTTTTTAAACGCGTTGCTACAGATTTTGTTGATAGTTTATTACGGCGATGACCCGTGGAAGGCAACGGACCCTGGTCTTTGAATTCAAAATAGTTTTCGTCGTTTCAAGCAGAGAAACAATTGCGTGCCGCGCATGAAAACCTCTGTTGTTGCTCGTGAGAATGGCGCCTCGTATTATAGGAATCAGAATTTCGTGTGTATTATAAAATGAACTCAATTTTCTAATTTTAGTTAAAGGACTACAGGTTTTGATTGTTTAATAATTTTTTCAATTATTTTCTTAATTATTTTATGTGAATTAATAATTAATTCATAATTTTAAGAATTTTATTACTAAAAATAAAGGCTTATAATTTCTAAGTCACAATGGGTGATAATAATTTATAGTACCATTTAGCTCTCTGTTCAAATTTTTTATTTTCTTCGCTTTATTTGTTTTTTAGTAATTTTTGGATTATCTAAAACAGTAGTTACATTTAACACTTCCAAAATTCGAAAATGTATCCAGTTTCTTTCAAATCGTGAAAAACTATCGGCATTTACCTGCTGATCCCCAATATTTATTATGCACAGGTAGAAAAAGATCCGATCGGGTACTGTTTCAAAAATTCTTTCCAATGGAAAACTGTGGAATTTGTTACCTGAGACACCGGTAACACTGTTGATTGTTATTGACTTCAAACCTCTTCCAGGAACAATTTCCTCGGGTCGTCTTTTGCCTTTTTAGGCCGAGAATTGCAGCAAAAAATTGCACTGCAATTCAAAGAATATCTCCTGCATATTTACAAAGTTTCATAATTTTTAAAAATTTTTAACTTTGGGGATCTTTTCCTTCGAGAAAAAAACGCTACGTAAAAAGCTATATAATTTCTGTAATTTAAAATAAAACCCTGCAATCCCTCATTTTGACGGGTTTGATTGTTCTGGTGTTAAGAAAGACTTAGCCGTATGTAGAAACAGTAATCGTGACTTGTCTGTCATGAACCATATGAAAATTGCAGTAAAAATTGTTAGTTGGTCACGTACATACAAGGCACTTGACAAACCGGTTTTAAATCCACCAGACAAAATTTACGAGGCTCCTTTGTCGACGTAGCCCTTGAAGAGATTCCCGAGCAACGTTTTATTAGATTGTGGCGCTACGCTCTCTGTTATCGGGTCATTTCAAAAGTGTTTGCGTATTTTGTTGAATCTGTTCATTCCTGTTTCTGATATTTACATTCGAGCCAAGTGAACGATGATCTTAATCTTGGACAGTAAACATTAATGAACTGATTTTCTTGGAATCCTCGTGAAACGATCACTGCTATGGCTAACTATAATCCTTCAAGGCAAACCATTTGTAATTCAAGATAGCAGACAAGCATTGTCAATTTTCATATGACAATTAGAAACAAACATTGCAAATAAAGATATTTTATTTATGTTGAAATAGTAAATTTGATAATTTAATATAAA